CTGCTAATTCTGTGGTGGCACATTTAACAAAACTAGGAAAGTGGAGATAATGTGGATGTTTGCAGATTAAATGTCAGGTAATAAATAACACTAATTTCACATACCTGCAAATGCAAAGACACCTTATCACTGTTTTAGTTTCTTACTCTTTGTAATGCCTGCCAACATTTTAACCCAGGCAAATTGCTGTATTGTTTTTGCTGTTTTTTCACTGGGATAAAATACACAGTCGTAATATCCTTTTATCAGATTTCATGGTATAAAAAGGACTTTGGTGCTTAATTCACATTATACATTGCTGAGACAATTTCAGACCTCCTGTTTTGGAAGATGCATTTATCCTATCTTTTAGTTTTTTTGTTTTCTTCTCACAGTGGTCAGAGTACCACTTGCCCAAGAAGATGCAGCTGTGACCCTGCCCAGTCAGTGCAATGCTACAGAGCTACAGAGATACCCAGAGGGATTCCTTTCACTACTAGAAGGCTCTACATCAGCCACAGCAAAATTAAGCAACTCCAGGTAGGAAAAATCCAGTAGAAATACCATATACCATATGCTGTGTCTGAAAGTCATATTTCCCAAGTGGTGGACTTAATGAGGGAAAGGAGAATCTTATTCCAGGTTCTAAAAGCTGATGAAATTGGTGCTAGATCTGTTTTTGATTTTAAGCACTTCTGAAATATATGTAAAAATATACCCATGTTGTTTTTTTATGCAACTCAAAAAACTTGTCACACAAGTAGACAAATGTTAACTTGTTTTTATAGGAACAAATAACCACTGACTTAAAGAGTTATTTTTAAACTTCTTGAAAGCTTTTGCTGTTTTTTTATGCAATGTAAATCTTTTCTATAGCAAATGGAAGGGTTTTACATGGCTAGAATGAAACTGAATTTCTTTTCCCCCTCCTGAGTTGCAAGTTTCAGATAAAACTGCTATTAGAAATAACAGTAGGAGTTATTAATTAAGGCTTGATCACTCATTGTTAGAGATCAAAGCAGTGTGAGATGATAAAAGCAATTCTGGGCCTTCCTAGTGTTGTCATCTACCTAGAGCCATAAAAACAACTGTTTTTTTTTTGTTGTTGTTGTTGTTTTTCTAATTGAGACATTACTGAATCATATTATTAAAGTCATTATCGGTGCAAGCAATATTTTTCTGTTTTCCATCCTAAAATATATTTATATAATAAATATAATTTCTATATGTCAACACAAGGGAACTATAACCTGCATTATGCATACTTGCCATATTATGCATACTTCTCATGTATCACTTTATTACAAACAGTAAGAAATGCACAGTTTTGGAGAAATACATTTACTTTTTAATATACTTGTTCTCTTACAAAGAATACATCCTTAACTGCATCTTTGATTTTGTTCTCAGGACTGAACAAAATGGGCTAAGGCAACAGGTGGGATACCTGTTGCTCATTGAGAAACAGCCTGAATCATTTTGCAGTTTAACTCAGTGGAAGTTTTCTCCTCTTTTAGCTGTTTCTGTTATCTGTGATTTTCTTATTGTAGTTCACATACCTACAAGAGTCAAAGTTTATTCATATGATACAGTTATATCAATGTGCTATGTGCAGTGTGTTAAAATAATGAACTCTTTAATGAATTCTTATGAGGAAACAGGTCTTCTGTACAGAAGCATTGTTGTCTTTTTATTATTATTTTTAATAATCAAGATGAGCCATTTTTCCTTTCCTAGGCTATTTGTTTATGCCTGTCAGCTATTCCTAAGCTACCATATACTCAGCACTCAAGTACTGTGTTCAGTTTTGGGTCTCTTGCTATGAGAAAGATATAGAAGCCCTGAAGTATGTCCAGAGAAGGGCAGTGGAGCTTGTGAGAACAAGTCTTAGGGGGATCTGGATTGTTTAGTCTGGAGGAGGCTTAGGGGAGACCTTGCTCTCTACAACTACCGGAAAGGAGATTGTGATGAGGTAGGGGTCAGCCTTTTCTCCTGTGTAACTAGTGACAGGATCAGAGGGAATGGCTTCAAGTTGCAGCAGGAGAGGTTCAGGTTAAATAGGAAAAGTTTCTTCTCTGAACAAGTTGTCAAGCACTGGAATAGGCTGCCCAGAAATGTGCTCAAGAAACATTGAGATGTACTAAGGGACATGATTTAGTGGGGAAATATTGGTTGTAGGTAGATGGTTGGACTGAATGATGTTGTAGGTCTTTTCCAACCTTGGTAACTCTATGATTCTATATGAGTAAAACAGCCTTAGATTGGCTAGAGAAAAAGGCAGGTATTTGTTATAAAGCATTCAAACATTGGTTATGAGTAAATAGAGCAGTAGAATAAATGTTTTGTGACTCTTCAGGGCAAGCAAATGGTGTGTAAAACCATCTAAGGAAAGAGTTTTTCACTTTATACATTAATTTAACTGAACAATCAGTATGTCTTACTTCTACTATCAGCTTTACTCTGAAAGGAAATAAGTCATTTATGTTATTTGTCTGTAATTATGTAAATTCTTTACTTAAGATTAAATGGGGTTTGTGAATGGATTTTTTCAGTCTTTGACAAACCATACTTTTTATTTCCTGACGTTGTAAATACATATGCTTAATTTAACACAGCTGAACAATTCTATTGGCTTAATAGTATTTAATTAATAGTATTATATACTATAGTATAATAGTATTTGTTGAAACAGGTTTTGATTTCTGGTTGTAAATTATATATCTGCAAGTGTTAGGGGAACTCTATAGTTCTTTGTTTTTCCCTTTGTTGGTTTTTTTTTTCTGTGTGTGTTTGATTATTTTGTTTTTGTTTTCCCTTACTTTTTAATTGCTTCATTTGCAGCATCTTAGAAAAAAGAAAACATTTTCAAAAAGAAGTTGAATCTAAGCCTAGACTTTTCGCAGCCAACCTCCATCAGTCTTTCATACGTAATTATGCACATATAATATGGTTTGGCAACTAACAGCTTCAGAAGAATAAGCAAATATTCTCTCAAACTGAACATTAATTACTTCTGGACATTATAATGGTCTATATTAAAACAGTAAAGAAATTGAAAATAAGTTTATATGCTAAATACAGTATGTTTTGAAGAAAAGGAAGAAAAAAAGCAGATCTATTTTATTCATATCAGCTTTGCATCACATCAGTTTTTCTCGACAGGGTTGCTCACCATTAAATGACTAGTTGGGTTTTTTGCTTTTGGTATTTCTGCAAACTAGGAGTTGTTACAAACAGCGTTTGCAGTAACAAAACTAGACTGCTTTTAGTATCTTCTTTCAACAATTTTCAAAACCTTCATTTGAAGAATACAACTATAAACTTTTTACTCTCACATTTAGTTTACTTGAAGGTATATTAATACTTGCTTTTATCTGTTAAAAGAAAATTGCTTCTTTGGCCCACAGAGTAAGGAGCTGTTTTAAGAAACTGCTTAAAAAAAAACCCAGTTCACAAAGCCTGATAAAGCCTACCACATAGGTGGGAAACAACTCAGAAACATGAGAATTGGATAAATGAAGAAGGAAGGAATCTCTTATGTCACCTTCTTAAGCTGATTAAAGATACACAAGTATGATAGTCAAATGTATACAATCAGGATTATAGAATAAAACTACTATGCAGAACCTAAGCTACAAAATGATTTATACTGTTCTCCTTGTACACTTATCAATGGGATTAAACAAACTTTGTAGTGTCTCTCAATGAGACTGAATCATGCTGACAGCTAATGAGCTCAAAGGAAATAGCATGCAGACTGTAATGTTAGTTTAGCATCTGCTGCTGATGAGTACTGATGATGCTTACCAGACACCTGAAGGGAGAATACACCTTCCTACCTCTTCCATGCAGAACACCTGCTCGTCTTGCTCTGAGCTTTCTGTCATTCCCTTATAAATGAATTTTTAGAAAACAAGCATGTAGGCCAATGGGCAGCATCTCCAAAAATTTCAAAGAAGTTGTTTAAGTAACTCATGTGTTCTAACAACTCCTAGATTCACCCTCATTCCATCCTTCTTCATTTCTTGGCTTAGAGTAACTGCCAGATTCATTCATTTATTAATCTGAGACGCAAGATAACATGTTTGATAAGTGAGCAGGTTCCAAAAGAACAGAAAAAAATAAAAGAAACAATTAGTATACCCCTATATATAATGATCACAGTTAACATCTAAGTTTCATTTAACACTACAAAGCATCTGTTAAGTACTAAGTAACAAAAAACTAAACTGTTGTAAAAGCAATTTGTTCCATGCACATGATTTTCAGACCAAACTGATCCTATACTTTGATCTCATACTTTTGGATTGGTCATCTAAATATGGTGACATTTTCACTTTAAAGAAAAGAAGAGGTAGTGGAGAGGATGAAGAAATACAGCTTTAGTTTCCTGCCATAAACTCATAGCGGGAAGAAAAGGTGATGGGCACGTATCTGGATAAGTAATGCTGCAGTAATGTTATATAGAAATTGCTGTATGATAAACACAAAGCTGCGTATATAACAACTACCTATTCACTGCAAGGATTTCTGCCACTGGTGACATTAGCTATCTATTTTACATAGCCTACCTGTCAGGCAGAAATAAATGGTGACACACTGGAACAGGTTGCCAAGGAGGTTGTGGATGCCCCATCCCTGGAGGCATTCAAGGCCAGGCTGGATGTGGCTCTGGGCAGCCTGGCCTGGTGGTTGGTGACCCTGCACATAGCAGGGGGGTTGAAACTAGATGATCATTGTGGTCCTTTTCAACCCAGGCCATTCTATGATTCTATGACAGTATGGACTTAAACAGTACAATTATAGAAACATAAGTAAATACGGGCAAACTGAAGGTACCTATAGTGACACCTCTTTTGTTACTGCACCATTTCTCTTAGTTTCTTATTCTATAAGAACATAGAGTAGCAATGGTCAGTGCATCCAGAACAAGCAATCTGTGAGGTGACTCATAAATACTGCATATTGTCACATGAATTATTTTTATCTTTTATCTCTTTAAGATTACTGACTTCAGAAGAATGTCAGCCCTTGAAGAGGTAGTCCTGTCATGCAGTGGTACAGAATCAATAGAAAACAACACTTTCAAAGCTCTGAGCACCTTGAAATCCCTGGAACTCTACAAAAACCAGCTAAAGCAAATACCCATCTTCCTCCCGTCTGGCCTTGAAATTTTAAAACTCGCCGATAATTCCATCAATACTTTGCATGCGACTGACTTTGAAGGTTTGGTAAAACTAAGAGTTCTTGATATCAGGAACAACTTGATTGCAACTCTGCCTTCAAGTGCATTTTCTTCCCTTTTCAATTTACAGAGTCTCATTCTAGATGGCAACAACATGGAATCTGTGTCTGCACCACTTAAGCTTCCAAGGCTGAAATATCTAAGCATGGCTGACAATAAACTAAACTCTCTCCCAACCAGCTTCTTTACATCTTTCAAAAATCTACAGTTTCTCAGTTTAAGTGGAAACTTTCTGACAAAAGTGCCCCTTGACTTACCTAAATCCTTGCTGTCACTGAAACTAGAGAAAAACCAACTCAAAACAGTACGACTTCAAGACATGAAACATCTAGAAAACTTGTCTGAGTTCTTCCTTTCAGAAAATCAGTTGACATCAATAGATGGTGCCCATCTCCTTCCTAATTTAACATCATTGGAGATCTCTAAGAACCAGCTCCAGGCTCTGCCACTCAGGCTGCCAGGCAGACTGCAGAAACTTGACTGCAGCAATAACCTGATTCAGAGGGTGACAGCGCAAGAATTCCAAGGACTACAGGACCTGAAACACTTGTTTCTTGACAACAACGCTGTCAGCATGTTTGAGGCAGGAGCCCTTCAGCAGTGCGCGCAGCTTTCTAACCTAGCACTGGAACAGAATCTCCTTATTTCTATCCCACTGAGGCAAGTGATTCTGAGAACAGCTGATTCACAGACATCATTTCTCCATCCTTAGATTTTGAGAATGAGGGCCAAAGTGAAAAAAATAAATTGCTTTTAGACCTAGTCATAGTGGAAGTCTACCCATACCATAAACCATCTGTTATAACTGGAACTAATTAGCACTGATTAGCTGTTTTCATTACATGTGAGGTCCCCGGTGATCCTTCTTTCATATTTCTCTGCCAGTAAGGCTGCTTTATTTAATTAACACATGAATAAGAGGAATCTGCTAGGAGAGCGTTAGAGTGATTATAGAAAAGCTATACTGCTGCTTAGATTTATCTTCTCCCATTACAAAAAAATTAATAAAGTATTCAATAAAAAAGAAAGTTAGCATGTTTAAAGCTGAAGTTTCCACCAATCACATAGTTTATTATTTTTAAAATATTAAGATTTTGGGAGATGAGTCTGGTCTAAAAGAATGTGTTTTTTTGGTGGATATTATAATTACTATCTTCATTAAATTCACACATTATAAAGTTCTTGGATTGCTTATAAAATCTCCTGCTTCAGGCTATGAGCAAAATTTCAGCCAAAGGAGCACAGAAGAAACATTCGTTGGGCTCATGCTATTCCTAAATGCCTTGCTCACAATGTTGGTCCTGGCCATTACCAGAGGTGGTGTGTTAAACTAAATGGAAGCTTGCCAGATATAAAATGGCAATTTTGTTATTTCAAAAAGCTGTGCAATAAGATGGCATCAAAGTAATTATGTAATTCCCTTAACATTAACTTCTCTAACACAACTGCACCATTAAGCCCTGTTTTCATGGCTTGTGGACAGGTTTAACTGCACAAACAAATAATGCAATAAAATTTCAATTTGTTTACCATGAGATCCTTTAGCATTTGAATCTCTTTGGTTGAAGCTTTACAATGAGAAAGTGATTTAGTGGTGTATAAATATTTGATTTCAGTCTGGCTTGACAGGAATGCTTAATGCTTTCCAGTTACATTAGTATTGCCTAATCCATCTTATTTTACAACCCTCGTAGTCAAAGGAATTAACAGGAAGGAGTTCTCTATTAGCTTCTAAGAAATACAGCTTTTAGGTAGGGATTGGGTTTTTTATTTTCAGCTCAACATAGATTTCAAGGAGAGGCTGTAAACATCAAGTAGGAGAGAAATGAGGAGAAGTAAAATGTGCATACTTAATTTGTGTGCTCCATGTACCTAATCTACTTCTGTGTGTACATACAACTACTTGTTAATCACCAGTTAGTTCCATGGATGCACAGCAATAAAAGTATTACTACTGACAGAACTACCAGTCACCAGTATCAGAAGTTAAGGAATATAGTTAATGGGGCACAATTAATGGAACTTAGCACTTGTTCAGTTCAGGAAAAAGAAAGGTTATTTTCTTTTTATCCAAAAGGTAAATAATGACATGAAATTTTCTCTAGCAGAACAACAGTCCAAGTATTTTCAGGTCTCATAGAGAAGAGCCCAAACTCCAGAAAATCTTGCAGAGAGTAACTGGTCAGAACACAGGACTGATGACAGACTCTGGAGCAGCAGCAGTATGGTTGTCAGGGTCAGCTCCTGAACGTATATGGCTTCTCTGCCAGCAGCAGGGTCACACATCACATACCTAAATACAGTTACTTCTTCAAGATCAACAGAACTTAAAGTCAAACAATACAGCTGCAAAGCCCAACAATGGTATGGTGAGATTGTACAGGCTTTAGACTGTAATCTGGATAAACATCCCAGGTGATATCCTATTGCCTTTGACATCATTGGCTCTAGGATTTTACAGCAGAGAACATCGTTAACGTTACAGTGTCATATTGGACAACTATTATCATTGACTGTATTTAGGTTTCAAAATCAATTCATTGGAGCCACAAGCACTGGTAAGACCAGTGGAATGACTTACCGTTTCAACACATGAAATCCTCATCTCACTCATGGAATATAGCACAATAGAGAACTCCCTTATTCTTGAAATATTCCCATTAAAGTTGCGGGATCTGTGTAGAAAGGGCAACTGCCTTTCAGCCCAAAAGGTCAAATTCAGTTTCACAAAAACAGCCAGTGAAGATCACAGTGTACCCTCTATTAACTCTCAAGCTATCTCAAATCATTTCATTGACATGGGAGCCAGATCAGCCTTTGTGGGTTGTGCGCTGCTCAATTCCAAATACTTCTTGGTATTATTGCTTATAGTTTGTCTGAGAGTTTTCCTGAACAAGTTTCCTTAAAATCTCTAACCATGATCTTAATCTCATCACATTGCATACTAAAGGAGTAAAATTCATTTTCTTAAAAACATTTCACACAAATTAACTGGCTTTTCTATTAAGCAGCTTTCACTGATTAGAGCAGAAAAAAAGATTGTAAATAAGCTAGACTTCTGAAATAAAAGTCTTATCACACAAATTATAAAGCATGAAAACAAGAATGGTATCCATCATCTAATATCATATCTCAAGATACTGGCTTTTTAAAATTCTTTTAAATACAATCACTTATAATTCTCTAAAGTACTATTTCAAAAGACCATAAAAAGCATTTATGTTCTTCTTGTTGCTGCTTTTTTAAGTATGAAGTATATCATCAATTGGACTACTTTTAAGTTTATTAAGTTTTAGATCTGCTGGCTGCAAGAGAACAAAAAATAGGGGGAAAAAAAAGGAAGAAAAATTCTAGTAAAAATTTAGTAAAAAGCTTTTTAAAACAAATCATACGCAGAAGTACTTGAAGGAGTAGAGTTGCCATGCTTTTCAAAACTTTTGGTCTTTCACATTGCTATCATTTGATCATCGGCATGCTTATGGCATTAAATAGAACAAAAAACATTTTTAAGCTTACTTGGCACCCAACTGAATATGCAACTTATTACATACGAAAGCAGGTTAGTATAAGTCAGAACTGCAATAATTTGGGAAAACCATTCAAACATGCATAAACAGTATTCCAACAACTTCAAATTAAAAAAAAAAAAAAAAAGACATGAACATTTCAGGACCAGAATTTTTTTTCCACCAGAAGACTACATTTTTGTCAGGGATAGTTTTATTTAATATGCTAGATATGCCTGGGCACAAAGAGAATCAGTATAATGAATATAACAGATTTGTGCTGTTTTATTTTTATTCAGACTTCCAGATACCCTTGCGAGATTGGATCTAAAGGGAAATGACATAGAAGGTGTTGGAGAACAAGAACTGAAGGACTTGAAACAGCTTCAGGTTTTAAATTTAAGGAACAACAAGATATCCGCCTTGGATCGCAAAGTCTTTGAGTATTTACCTCGTCTCCGGCATCTCTATTTAGATGGAAACCCTTGGAATTGCACCTGTGACCTTCTGAGAACCAGAGGAGTGTTAATGGCCAAAGGAACGGATGTCAGGGGAGGGCAGTGTGCAGCACCAGCAGAACGCCGAGGAGAAAGTTGGATGTCTTCCAAAAAGATTCTGCAGCAGTGTGAAGATAATCTGTCTTCCACAGAAAAAGGCAAGGAGGACAGAAAGAAAATGAAACCCAATGAGGCCTCCAGTGTTGCAGTAAATACAGATGATGATTACTATGATTATGAACTAGATTAATGCCATGGTTAATCTATCATGAATGTTAAAGCTGTCTAGAGCTGCCCACCACTACCAGTATCCTTACTGATAACCAACCTGCTGGGTTGCCATTACATTTTCCTCTTTAATTTGTACTATAAATGCTAATAGCTGGTAACAAAAGGGCTATAATAAGGATGCTATTTTAAACTGAAATTTGTAAAAATAACAGCTGTTTTTCTTTGTCATTAGTACTATGTAGCTTGAGGTAAATAAGAATAAAATAACCACCTTTTAGAAAAGCACTCTGTAACTCTGTATGGACTTTTTAATAGTAAAGCATTCTTATAGTTGCATTAAAAACAAAAAAAAAAAAGAAGAAAAGAAAACAGAGAGAAAATCCTGCAATACCGAAAGGTATCATTACCTGTAGTGTGGTGTTCGATATACTTAAACTCAGTAAACTCTCAGGATGGAGAGTTACATCAGTATGACCAATTCCTCAGGACTATTTGGAGGTTCTTGCCTTTGAAATGTTAATTTCAGTTTTCTAGAAATTGCCTCTTTATTTTAGGCGATTTCATAGAATCATAGAATCATAGAATCGCAAGGTTGGAAACAACCTGCAAGATCATCTAGTCCAACTGTCCTCCCATTACCATTGCTAATTTGAAACAGTACTAGACTAAACTAACTGAGCTTCAGGCAAAACACAGAGGGCTCATCTTCATCATGGTGAATACAACAAACAGAAGAATCAGTGTCCTGGTCAATGAGATTTAATGGTTGTTCCAAAGTTAATTAGTGAATGAAGATGCTGGGGGTCAATTTGACCCAAGTTTAATATTGTAAACAAAAGAAGGGACATTCTCACGAAATCGTTTTCTACCTCTGCCTAGAACTAGGATAAGGCCCAAGAAGCCAAGGTTATTGCAATAATTTATTTTGGTAACCAATTAATGAATTGACTGCCATTCAGCTCAAGTTGAATGTATGTATATGAATGTATGTATGTATACCTTTGGGTTCACATGGAAGTGCACGCTGAAAGTGCCCCTTTCAATAGTGGGAACCTTCTAGACTTTTGCAACACAAAAGGACTTCATGGTGTATGCATCAAATCTGATATATGTGCAAATTTTATCAGGCAGTTCCCGAAGTGCTTGAAAATTAAACAAAATTGGAATACCCAGACCACTAAAACCAGCAAATTACAAAGAGTAATCTAAGGGGCTTCCTGACAGTTCATAAATCTCAGCTGATAAGTGAGGAGTAAGCACACCAGCAAATTACTTTTCAGAGCAAACAGTTTCTATTATTCTTTATCTTCTGTTGGCATTCCGTAACTGGATAATCACTCACATTCATAGTGCCTGTTTTGTCAGGTGTCAGAGTGCAGCTACGGGGCCATGGCACCTCTGCAGAATCCATTGGCACTTGAGTCTCTTAACACACTAAGCAACGTAAGTTAGAGAGGCTTACATTAATTTTTCTTTACATTTTAACTTTTGATCATGTCATCAGCTACAATTTTGGTAGATACAGATTTAGATGTTTATGGAACAGCACAAGCTTCCTAGCAGTTTGAATGTGTTGTTTTTATGGCTAATAATGGTCTGAGAAAGCTTTTCTCAATAAAAGAAGATATCTTCACACTACAGTACTTTTCATTCATTCTGTACTGATGGCACACCCTCCCTTGTCATTTCAGCCCATTTGCACAGGCCACAGCTGGAAGGCTCTTGCACAGCCTGTGAGGAATGGGAATCTGCACCTTATTGGCTATGCACAGCTACAAGCCAGGATGGAAAACCTCTCCTCTACCTCAACCAGATAGAGGCACCATGCTATACTACTTGTGGGTTCAAAGAAGGGCAACAAAGCTGGTGAGGGGTCTGGAGCACAGGCCTTATGAGGAGTGGCTGAGGGAGCTGGGATTGTTCAGTCTGGCGAAGAGGAGGCTCAGGGGAGACCTTATTGCTCTCTGTAACTACCTGAAGGGAGGTTGTAGTGAGCTGGGGGTTGGCCTCTTCTCTCCTGTAACTGGTGATAGGACTAGACGGAATGGCCTCAAGGTGCACCAGGGGAGATTTAGGCTGGATGTTAGGAAATACTACTTTTCTGAAAGAGTGGTCAGGCACTGGAATGGGCTGCCCACGAAGGTGGTGGAGTCACCGATGCTGGAGGAGTTCAAGGAGCATTTGGATTTTGTGTTGAGGGACATGGTTTAGTGAGTGCTATTGCTGATAGGTGGATGGTTGGACTGGATGATCTTGTGGGTCTTTTCCAACCTTGGTGTTTCTATGATTCTGTGACTAGAACGAGGCTGCCCTGCAGACCCGAACATGGCCAGCCAAAGCAGGCACTGCTCACACGAGGAAGGCGGAGGCGCAGAACGAGACACGCCGCACGTCCCAGCTGGGTGATGCAGAGCAGAACAGATTAACACCGCCCTCACCCCGCCACGCCCCGAGGCCGCCAGGGGGCGTAACCCCAACATGCCGCGCCCCTCCCCGCCTGTTCCCTTACGGCCACGTCATTCGCTCGCCGTGGGCGGAAGTGACGTCAGCTCGCCGGGCGGCCAACGGGCGCCGCGCATGTGGCGGGGTGAGAGGTGAAAGATCAGGCGGGGCGGCAGGAAGATGGCGGTGCGGGCGGCGGGCGCCGGGCGAGAGACGCGGACTCTGTGAGGCGCGCGAAGCGATGGCGCGGCGTGCGGCGCGCTGCGGCTGATAGGCGGCCGTCGCGGGCCGTGCGCGGAGCGCTCCCCATGAGCGCGGTGGGGGGCCTGGCGTGGCGCGCGCTGCACGCCCTGCTGCGCGCGTTGCTCTGCCTGCAGCGCGCGCTGCTGGCCGCGCCCCGCGCCTGGCTCCGGCGCCGCGCCGCCGCCTCCTGCGCCTTGCTGGGCCCCGCCGCGCGCGCCCTCGCCTTCCCCGGCGCGGCCCGAGGGGGCCGGCGGCCCGGTAGGAGGCGGCCCGGGGTTCGAGCGAGGGGCCGCGCGGACGGGCGGGCCCTGCAGAAGCTGCCGCTGCACGTGGGTCTGGTAGTGACCGAGGAGGAGCCGAGCTACGCGGACATGGCCAGCCTGGTGGTGTGGTGCATGGCGGTGGGCATCTCCTACGTCAGCGTCTACGACCACAACGGTGAGCGGCGGGAGTGCACCGTTATGGGGGGAGGGAGGCAGGTTGGGTGGGCCCCGGGCGGCTCAGCTGGGGAGGGCGGCCCTGCCCACGGCAGCGATTGGGGTTGGGTGGGCTGTGAAGTCCCTTCCCTACGAACCGTTCTGTATCGTGCAGCGCTTTCCTGTCGAGGAGGCGAAGCCAACTGTGTGATAATCTCAGCTGATGGATAATCTCTGAGACTGCAGAAGCCAGCAGCTGGGGAGGGCTAATCACATCCAAGGTGTGCTGTGCTGCTGCCCTCTCTAAGGACGAAGCTCCCTGCTGCTGATCTGGCAGTGCTTTTAATGCCTCTCGGAGATACTAGGGAAGACTAATGTTCAGCTGCTGTTTTGAGCCTCTTCTGAGGGCTGTCAAGAGATGTTATGCAGACTGGATTAGCTCTGTAGATCTATGAGCGTTTTGGGGTTGCTGTCTGCACTACGTGTCTTCTGGAGGTCCTTCAGGAAAAGCTCAGTAGTGCTTTCTGCTGAAGTAGGTGGCATCTGTTGTGGTCAAAGATATGAAACTTAGAGCTGTGGTTCCCTTACATTCATTATGTGTATGTGTGGTTTTAAAAACAACTGCCACTGATGTTGTTGTTGCATCTCTGGTCCGTCGTAGGTAATGCAAGATCCTAACTTTTGCTAAATCTTGTAAGGTCTTTCTAAGAAACTGGGCTTAACATCAGTCCCTTACCAATTTAAATTGTCCTGTGTACAGCTGTTGCAGAACTTTGTTATGCTATGTTTCAGTGGAGAACACTTCCTCCTTTGAAGGTCAGAGAGTCTTCTAAATATTTGCGCAACACTTTGAGGACACAGTGCCTACTGGAAAGCCATTAGTGTGTTGATGGTTTTGCGCTCAGCTTCAAAAGAATGCAGTCAGAGGAAATGTTACAGAGCAAGCATTGGTACTATGCAAAAGTTTCCCTTTTGACCTCAAGGAGAACTTGATTGTATAGTCCTTATATTTTCTGTTAATCCTCAAGTAAATTATCTGCAGTGTTTCCCGATTTTGTGTACGTGTGTTTAATTTCTTTTTAGATCTCTGTGTTGTACTTCAAAACTATTTTCCTGAAATGAAGAACAAGTCCATCTGAAAGCTATATTTCTTGTTGCCATGGATTTTCATATTTGAATGGTTGCAGGGTGAACAACATGGAGGAGGGGTAGGCAATCATAAATATTGTCACTGAGGTCCTGTCTGTAAGGGTGAAACCAGCATTCAGCTTGTCTGTTTCCACTAATAGCAGAGTTACTTCTGCTTCTCTAGAACACGTGCTGAGATCCAGTCAGACCTGGGACTGACTGGTACAAGGCTGCGTGTGTGATAAACAGAAATGATGAGGCTGTCCTCTGAAGAGCAGTGTAGATGAAGTAACCCGGCAGAATGATTGTCAGCTGCTCATAAAAACTATTTTGAGTGGAGGTTAACATGAGTGTAACTAATATATGGAAACAGTCAAAGTTGTGTGCTAATAAGCTTTATTAATTAGCTTAAGCTTGAAAATAGAGCGATGATGTCATGATTCTGGATAAAAGATTTCTTCATCTAATAGCTAACTTTCTTAGTCCTTAGATGTCAGAATATACCAGTTTAATTATGAGCTTGAATTCCGATTTATTGGCACATAACTGATGAAGGCAAGCCTTAATCCACAGCAACTAAGTGGTCTAAATCATTAGCTATTGCCAGACTTCATACTTCATGAGGCAAGCCTGCTGTTATATATCCATGTTCTTTACGGATATTCAGTGCATTTTCTGGGATACCAGCCATGTCTGCTTTCTGCACAGAGCCTTTTAAATTGGTGTCAGTGAGTTCTGAGCAACTAGTCATTCAAATAGTTTGAGTACACATTTCTGGTAGTAGCAGATACATTGCTTTTCTCTTGGTGTTGAGCTCCTTACAGTGTCTGGATTGAGCATAGAGCACTTCCAAATAGGCCTGTAGCTATGTAAGACATTGTAGTACCCTGCAATCTGCAATCTTGTTGCTAAATGCAGTTCTGAACCATAGTGGTGTCTGGAACCCTCAGCAGTAGCATTAATAAGTGAAGGTGAAAAAAGACGTGTACAACTTGCTGTTATCATTAACAGAGGGTGAACTTCAGTTATGCTTTGCTTGTTATTATCTTAGGTGAGGGTACTTCTGGTATGCTGATCTGCTTCAGTGAGATCCTGTGCTCATACAGTTGTACTTACTATTGACTTAGCAAAAATGTGTTGTCATTGCCGCTGCTGGCTCTGGTGGAAAAGGAAACAAGGTGATTCCTTCTTCATTAGAGGTAGTGGAGTATGCTTGGGTTCCTCTTCCTTCACTGCTTTTGTGTAACAGTGAGAATCTGCTCATTAAAACAGAAGGCTTTGGTTACAGGAACGCTCTTTCACGCTTGTGTTTCCTGGAAGGAAACATCTATTTCAGTTTTTTGTAGAAAGCTCATGTTAAAATGCAACCTTAACTGGACTGTCTACAGGAAAAAGGGAGAAGTGTGACATTCTTCCAAGAGGAAGTACCAGATAAGCTGTTTATTTTTTTTATAGTAGTGAAATTCTGAGGTTTTCATAAACTAATTGAAGAGAAGATTGGTTCTGTATTCTTAGCTTTGCAAAATGAGTAACTCCACCCCAGCTGGCCCAGGCATATTGCAACAACTGCTCTAGTAACTCTGAAGGCAACTTGGCTGAAGTTTGATGTTCTCATGGGCAATTACAAGAAAACTCAGTATGTTTATGAATACGTTGAACAATAATTGTAGAAACTCATCAGGTACTTGACTATCTTGTCTGAATCTGAAGGTCAGTAGTCTAAAAGGTTGAAGTAAGAGTGCATAATGCAGGAGGACTCCAAGATAAGTAACTGTCTTGTACTGTAATAAACATGGTGTGATATGATTTGCAGTACTCGGGTGTTTTTCCCAAGCTGGGCCAATAGTGGCATTCTTGTGGTGTCTCTGGTGGTTAGGGGCCTTTTTCTTTCTCCCACGTATCAAAATATTTTCCAAATATGCAGAAAAACTAATGAGGTTTATGGTGTGTCTTTGTGCCTGAGTTATCAAATTTAGATTAATTGAACTTTATTTAAATATAGGTTTTGCTCAAGGATTTGTTTTTGTAGACTTATGTCTTTCCAGTCGTATTCCTTGGTAGCAGCCAAGCCATGCTAGTAGAGATGTTATCTCAGAGGAAATAACTCAGCCTTCTCACACTTGAAGACCACAACTACCTTTCACCATTGTTAAATGCTTTAAACTTCTTTTGTTATTTGCTGATGATGGGACACTGAGTGTTACTACTTTCCTGGAATAGTGTGGGACAAGGATAGAGCAATTTCAGGAGGCTTGCAGTCTCTTGGCATCTGAATGCTTTGGGTTCTTGAAGAGATGGATCTGGTTGGAGCGTTGTTAAAAGCCTCTAGTACTGCTGCGATGGACTTCAGTTTCTCTGTCCTGGATTTAGCTTTCTGGGGAGCTGTTTTACTTCTGGCCCATTTTTCTTTAAGAAATTCTTTTAAATAATAAGGTACAGTAATAATAAAAAGAAATCATGTAATGAGCTGCAGACTAGGCCTTTAGGCTCTTCTTGATTATTTGGTAGTTTAGTTGGTCTGATTAACTTACAAAAGTGAGTATTTGGTGTATTTTCATGAAGAGGGAGTTAAGAATGTTGTGGCTTTGTGTCACTGGAGTGCATCTGTGTCACGTTGAATTTGCTGTGGGTTTTCTAATGCTGTGAAACTTGACATTCATCAACTGTTCTGGTGTTCATTATGTGGAGTCTCTGGACCATGTGTTTAGTGTGGTCTAAAGCCAGTCTGTACATGATAACCTTGTAGGCAGTATGAAAATAGTAATGCTTTTTTTCTTGGTTACTAGTGAATTCTTGCAGGGACATTCTGTACTAGAACAGGAACTGTGGGAGGAGTAGTCACTGAATTCTGATTCTGACTTCTTCCTGTTTTGCTAGCTGTAGCTTTGGTGGCTCTAACTAGAATGAAATTAAGTGACTTCAACTGTTTTCAAACTTGGTATATTTCAGGACTTCTGGAATAGATGTCGTTTTCTTGTGCTCAGTATCCTGTAAGGTGCAATGTAATAACACAAACCTTATTTTCTTACGTTCAACTTTAACATGTTCAGTTTGGGGCCCGTTGCTACAAGACAGTTGTGGAGGCCCTGGAGCTTGTCCAGAGAAGGGCAATGAAGCTGTGAGGGGTCTGGAGTGTAAGTCTGAGAAGTGTCTGAGGGAACTGGAATTCTTTCCTGTGGAGAAGAGGAGGCTCCGGGGTGTGACTTTATTGCTCTCTACAGCTATTTGAAAGGATGTTGTGTTGAGGTGGGAATTGGCTGCTTTTCCTGTATAACTAGTGATAGGACTAGAGGGAATGGCCTCAAGTTGTGCCAGTGAGATTCAGGTTGGACATCAGGAAAAACTCATTCTCTCAAAGAGTGGTTAGGTGCTCAAACAAGCTGCCTAGGGAGGCTGTGGAGTTGCTGTGTCCGAGAAACATCTAGATGTTGTACTAAAGGAAATGATTTAGCACAGAAATATTAGTGGTAGGTGACTAGTAGGACTGGATGATCTTGGAGGACTTTTCCAACCTGAGTGACTCTGATTTTTAAACTGCAGCCAGTGTGATCCAACACAAGGATGCAGGTTTTCATGTGTTAGAACAGTTTATTGAATGTATGTTTTATGAACTGAGTTATGAGTTTATATTTATCAAGCAGGTGATAGTTGCAGTTAGCCTGTTTTAAGTAAGCTGGCACTGAAAGAGTTGAGAAAGCAAATGACTGGGATGCTATGGAAATGTGTTCTTTCATAGGCTTAGGTGGTAAGGTTTTCTCTTGTAAGGAAGAGACAGAAGAAAGCAATCACAGGAGAAAAACTCTTGCTTTAAATAGTAGAGCAAATGAGAACGTTGAGCAGTAAGATGCTACCAATCCATGGGCAGGTGTTAGCTTTGGCAGTCTGGCCTGACAGATGAGTGGCTGACACCACCTGGTGTTCTATATGACAGTGGTTTCTATGGTTTGACTTGTCTGAACTGATTTAGCATGTTTCTCGTACACCTGCAGACTTCTGCTTATACACTGCATTGTCAGTTTCTAACCTTTAAATACTGCAATACCACAATTGACTGCAAATGGGCATGGCTTGTAACTATTCCAAAGCAGAGCAAAAGGTGTGGAGTAGAAAAGAATCACGCGATGGAGGACTAATGCAGAAAGCTGAATGCTCTCGTTTGCCTCAGTTGTAGTGTGGCTGGGAACTAATGATCAGTGGTGTACTCATAGCTTGTGTTGTGAAAAGAAGAGGTATACCTAGAAATAGGTAACACATTCTCTGGTGAATTCCTTATGAACACAGGTTTTATACTCCATGGCTTTTGGAATGGTGATGCTTAAGTGTGTACGATCTTTGAAATACACGTTTCTATGAGTTTGCTTTCAGAAACAAAGTAATAGTAGAATACAAATGTGAAACTTTCACTGCATCAGAAACAGGAATGCTGCATTCTTCCTTGCTTAACAGCAGACAGCGTTTTCAGAACTAGCTTGAACATATTTTCAAATAAACTTTATAAAACTGTACCTTGTAGACAATTTGATATTTGAGATCTTTTAAGGGAAGAGCAGCACGTGTCTGAACCACAGCCATATAAATTGATTTCTTCAAGTCATACGAGTGTTTGGTCCATGTGTCTTTCTGCTATACAATGCAGTGATAAGGACAAGTCTCTTGTGCATTAAGTGAGAAACAATGGTCAGGGGCAAGTTCTTAAATACCTCACTTAAAAAGCACTCAGCTACACTCTGAGCTTCAGGATCATCTCTGCAGGAGAAATGCAGGTGCATCAAGGATAATGGATCAGTTGGAATTCTGATTTGGAGGTCTTTCTCAGAAAGTTGTGCTAGAAATGCACAGTACAACTACAATAGCTTAGTTTGTTACACTGCTGCTCCCAGAATGAAACAGGATCCCGTTTTGAACAGCTGAATAAAGAAGGTGAGCTAAATGAGAGTAGAAGCAAAATGCTCGTGGTTCAAGTTTTCTAATGCTTCTGTCTATCAGGCTTTCTGCCTTACTGATATTTGTTCACTTCTCAATGTGAGATCAATTATAAGTATCATTAATGTATACAATGAAAGAATAACTTATATATAAAACACTATATAAAACACTAACTACTAGTATAGTAAATGCATTGCATTTTCGTGTAGGGGTGAGGAAAAAAATACTAATGTATTATGATCCTAACTAATACATCTATGCTTGTTCAGACTACTCTGATGTGGAAACTGGTGTTTATAGCAGTTTCTAAACCTAGAATCAGGCTGAGGTGATAAACTGGAAGCATGACTGGAAGTTGTATGCAAGTTCAGTATTGCTTGAGTGGTAAGTTGATTGTGTGGACAGTTCTTAGACTGGTCTGCAGAAGTCCTTGCCATAGGATCTCTGAATGAAACTTAAGCTCTTGGTAACAACCCCTGAATCCAAATGATAAAAGCTGTATCAGTTCCTATGTAAATGTGCATTTACATTTCATTGTAAAGTAAGTATTTAGGCATTAATGCTTAATTTTACTGTAATTTTAAATTAGAAATAGCGTAGTGTAACTGAAAGCTAGAATTTTAGAACAGCAATCCAAGTGTGTTTGCTTAACCAAGTTTTTGTAGACTCCTGAACTCAAAAAGCGTCTATGATAAGTATGCAAGTATGAAAAGACTGTGGGAACTGCATCAACTTATTGCGTGATATGCTTGTAAAATGCTGTTATTGAGAAACTGACATTGGCAATTGCATGAGTGGACAGTTGACCTGATGCACTGATTTAGTTGTCTTCTGGCTCAGTTTATGCTGAATTGCTTTGTTAGATTATAACTTTACTATATGCATGTAGTAAGTGAAAGCAGATGTCAGCAGTAAATCTACAGCAGTGTGGGGCTGAAAGGAAACTAGGTGTTATGGTGACATGATGGTCCTGTGCAGTTAGGATATTGCTGTCTCAAACTGTTGCTCAGCATGCTGAAGACAGCAAAGTGATCCTTGAGCCATCTCTTATGCAACTGTGAATTGCTACTTAAACCAGGCTGCGTAAAAGAGGAACAGAAGCACGTGAGAGTTGTCTCCTTGTATATGCTTTTGCAAGGTCACTGGAGTTAGTCATATGCAGGAGCATTTGCTTTTGATTCTTATCATACTTGTGCATTCCAGTTTGAAGCCGGTACTGACCATTTGATTTTCTTCCCCCAACACAGTGTCATATTTATTTTTATAGCACTCTGTAGTATATGGCTGACATGTAACTTTTTTTTAAGGTATTTTCAAGAGGAATAATTCAAGACTGATGGATGAAATTTTAAAACAGGAGCAAGAACTCTTAGGATTAGACTGCTCCAAGTATACCGTGGAATTTGCAAATCAAGACAAAGCTGATCAAGGTAAGGTGAACTGAGAGTGGACAGAGACTAGTATGACTTAAGTAAAAGCAGAATTATGATCTATATACAACTAAAGCACTTTAGTATGTACTATGACCTTTTCCTTCATTAACACCTGATTATCAGAACACACAACGTTCCTGGGTTAGTATTGAGCTTTCAGTATGATTGTGTTCATATAATTTGTGAGGTCCTGCTCTTCCCTGTGCCTAGGCATCATTACTGGATAGTACAGTCTTTATGTTAGCAAAACTTTTGTGCCAGTGATCCCTCTAATGCATCAGTGTAGCTCAGCTTTCCACTGCTTGAGTGAAATTAATTGTTTTGTTGAGAGGAAGGGGAACTAATATTATGTTGGCGGTGTGTTCAGTTTTTCTGCAAACTTATGCTTTACCTCAGAGTTGGAAGGATGTGAGAGAGCAGAACTGCTGGTTATCATGTTAATGTGTAACAAGGAAGCAAAGGGCATACAGAATACTGATCTGTCAGTACTGGTATGTCAGTTTAAAGACTGTTTCTCTGTATGACAAATGGATCAAATATTCTCAAGAATTTTTTTGTGGTGGCCTTTGATAGAGTGTGGGTGTTCTGATGTGTCTTCAAAAGAACATAAAATACTGTTGTAAGCAGTTAGATTCATTACTGACATAATGTTGTGTATTTTAATATTGTCTGCTTTGTATTTAACCCAGTTACTTTAAGCTGGGTTTAATACACTACTTATTTGTAGCCTCTAGCTTCCTTGGTAAGTTTACCTCTTAGGTTCTTTATCCTGCCTCACAATAGCATAGGCATCCATGAGATTATGCCTGTGATTTAAGAGGCTATTTTACAACAATTACAGTTCAGTGGATAAATTCTGCTAGTGTTACATAGTTCCTACCTTCTCTGTATTAAGTAATCTTAGATCAGTGTTGCAGCATCACTTTTGGAGTGCTGTGGAAATTCTGTAATCATACTTGAGGAGAGCTGTAGGTTAATCCTATTGTCAAATGAATATTCAAAGTAGTTAAAGCACCTTCTTGTAAAGGATAAGAATTAGATCTTTCTACATTGCTTGCTGCACCCAGATCAGTAATTCAGTACCCAGTTCTTAGTGCTTTTCATGACCTTGGTAGAACCTATACAGATGTCTCTGGAACAATTTGCATTTGAAGATTGACTTTCACTAAGCATTTCTCACAGGCCTCCTCAAAATAGTTGCTTTAGGCTTGGTTTTTAGCAATAGCAAATCCAGAAGTTTCTTGCAACTTCTTTAACAGCTGAGTGATGTATACTTAGGACTAGTTATACAATACGTGAAGTCATGTATTTTTTTGTCATACCCTGTGAATACTTAAAGCACATTTAAAACTGTATTTCTGTTACTTTTAAACTATGTTTTGTACTTTCAGTTTTAAATTGCCAATCTACATTGAAGGTGCTGTCTCCAGAAGATGGAAAAGCAGACATAGTAAAAGCTGCTCAGAACTTTTGTCAGTTGGTAGCACAACAGCAAAGAACATATACAGACCTGGATGTGAATGTGTTAGACAACTTGTTAAGTAGTAAGTATTATATAGTCCCTTGGGAGGAGGGAAACATTACACAACTGATAACTAATTTCACTTCTTATATACTTGCAACATGTATGTATCTTTGTATGTAGTCTATCAGAATAAGTTATGCTGAGTGCCATCAAACATGCTTAAAACTCTTGCTGTTTCGCTGCTTAGATCTCTTTAAAGAAAAAGCTCTGAAGGAAACACTAAGCTAAGTTGGAGAGTCTCATTTTCACAGAATTCATAAGCTTTGTGTGATGTTCTGGAAAAAAGTACTTCTGGGATAAGCTGAAACTAGACTTACAAGTAAGGTTAACTTCTTGCAGGCTAGCATGCTGCAAGCCTAGCTATGAGTGGTGAGTCTTTACAGATTTAGTTACAGGAATTAAAGCTGCCTAACTGTTGGCCCCGAGTTGAATGCAAATAACAGGGTACTTGCTGATCCTTTGCTGCTGTGTAACCCATGTCAGTTATCTCCATTGCTAATTCATGCAGATTACTGGTGCTCTGCACTGAGGTTGCATGGCTACTTGCAATAGGTGTGAAAAGGGCAGGGCTGCCTCCATTGCCTATGAGGGAGGAACAGCATTGTGCTAAGGAGCTGGAGTACTTGTTCAGCTTCTCTGGATGATCAGTGAATGTGAAATGCAACTGGCTTCAGGTTAGGCAAGCTGTGTGCCTGATACGCTGTTACAGTGTGGCTTTCATTAATTGGAGTCTAGAGAGACTTTCCTCTTCCCTCCCTTGTTCCCCAAACAAGTGATCAGCTGAGTTGTAGAATGGATCCACTGCAGTGCAATGGGAGTTCAGACCCTTTAGTCTTAATCCCAACTAAATTTTCACTTTTGAAGCATATGGCATCTTATCTTACAGTAGTGGAGTTATTAAATGGGTGTTTAGTATGACCCCTGAGGAAGTAACTTAGATATCTAGCCTGTTATGCCCAAAGGAAATCTAAGAAAGTGGATAATTGCTTCTGTAGATCAGTCTCTCTTCTTGAAGAACTGGTGCCAATGATACCCATATACATATTCTGGCCATTAATGCTGAAGTAGAGTTTATCAAACACTTGTTGCTGATCTTCTATCCTTGCATGTGTCTATTGTTCAAGTAATGCATGATAGCTGAGCACAGAAAAATCTACAGTTTTAACAGACTAAAAATCTAAACTTTCAAAACGCGTTGACTGTGTGGCTTGTAACTAAAGATAATATCTATGAGTCCTGCTTACTAATCTGCTTGTTTTTAATGTCTAAGACAGTTGGAAAAATTAGTCTTCTATGACTGACTTAGTTCACAAAACTACTCATTTTTAGTTGTCATGTTTAGTTTCAGTGTATTCTCAGTTGCAAGGTATTGAACACAAATGCCTGAGTTGCTGATTTTTAAATCCAGAAGGAATTCTGGAGAACAGTACTTAAATAGCAATAATCCTAGAGCTTTTATTCAGGAGAATTTTGTAAGCTTCTGATTTCTCACATGTTCATTTAAGTATGTGATAATATAGTTTTTCTTATAACTTCCTCATGTAGAATGTGCTTATTGAAGTCTGGTTCTAAAGTGATGGGGTTCTGACTTACATGGTTTTTTAGGTTCTTTGTTCTTGCTTGAATTCTTACAGCCTAAGTTTTCTTCAGTGTAGATGTAGCTTGTTCTCAGCAAGCTTTCTTTCAGAAAAGTAGGTGCCAGCTCTGTTCTAGAATCATAGAATCACTCAGGTTGGAAAAGACCTTAAAGATTGAGTCCAACCACGACCTAACCATACTACCTGAACTCTAACAACCCTCTGCTAAATCATGTCCCTGAGCACCATATCTGATAAAACCTCTACTTGCTGTCTCTATTTCCAGTAATGAATATAGTGATGATGCTGATCAAGTTGGACCAGTCAATCTATGTGGAGAAGTGGTGATATCAGCTTTACAAATTCACTCATGTTTCCCTCATAAAACTCCTGATTTAAGAGGGATGTTGTGAGATATTTTTCTTGTGTCTGAGCCTTCTTGCCTCCTCATGAATTCTGCTTCAAGTCCTTCTGTCTTTTGTGTGCTGAACTTGAAGACTGCTTTCCTGCTGCTCTGAGGGAGTTTTCACATGCAAAGTATCTGTAGTGTTGATGCATTTAGGTAGAGAAATGGATGCAAGGTAGAAAGCACAGTACTGTATTTAAATAGGCTGTTCTGACAGTAATACTACACACTGTTCATTTTCCTTCTTCAGATAGGAGCCAGAAGGAAATATTAGAATTAACTGGGCTCTCTGAAGGTCTTTTCCTGTTTGAAAAAGTCATTGCAGTGTTGGAAGATCCTGCTGCTGAACTGACCAGCTGAGGAGTACTCAGCTTCTGAATCAGCTGATGAGTAAAGCTGTCCACTTCCACCAGAATCCCCACTTCTAAGTATTTGCTGCTTCCCTGTTTCATACTAACATACTAGCTTACCAATAAATAAGCAGCTTCAGCTTTATACTTCTGTTCTCTTTTAGATAAGCTCTAAACTGTGGCTTTAGTGGAAATGCTTAGGGAATGCTTGAGGAAAATAGCTTGTCTCTGACAAACAGTTTATTGTTGTGATGATTCAGTGAGGAGGGAGGATATGAACTTCTTTGAAATCTTCAGCTTCAATTCTAGAACAGAGGTAGAGGGGAAGAAATCATATGAGACCTTAGTTTTGTTTTGTTCTTCCTGATGTTAAGTTCCTCTAAGTTTAAGCTAATATGTTTTTTTAAAAAAAAAAAATCTGAAGAGCAAGTAGGCAGCATTTAATTTTGTCATCTGCTAAAGGTAAGAATTACACAGTGCAAGCACTCTTTCAGTTAAGTTGTGGAATTAGGATAGTAGGAAGGGCAACAGGAAATATCATGGAGTAATCATTGCTTATAGCAGCATCAGAGCAAAGTAGGATTATGACTACTAAAATGCTTTTTGAGGTGAGCATGAAGAACAGTTTACCTTTTTAGTCTCCTTTTAGTGTAGTACTGTTTTCCACATGTTGCCTTAATAAATTTGCTGAAATTAGCAGAGAAAGCTGGACTAAGACTGTTCATTCTAAGCATGTTGCCCATCTGTCAGTTCTAGTCTGTAATATTTCAGGTGTGACGAATTGTACAGAAGGGGCCACTGTTGTCTTCCTTGAAAGGTCAGTAGGGAGCTCTCAGGGTTAACAAGACAGCAAGCTACTGAAGATTTAATTAGCTTTTCTTACAATGGGGAAAATTCCAAATACGTAAACTGTAGTACTTGGTCTTCAGCTTTTTGGAGAGTGATATTTACTATCTTGAACAGCTGTTTATATGCCCAGTTCCAGAGACTGGGTATAGATAATAAAATCAGAGTGCGGATTAGACAATAGTGGCTAAGGTTTTAGAATGTGGTTAAGAGTGTGAGTGCCTAGTGAACTGTGTCATGTGGTCATGCCCTGGGTGGATCATGTCTGCTTACTAACAAGAGGAATAAGGCATTTTTTTTCTCATTCTAACTAGGAAGATGCCAACTGCAACAGTTTGTTTGAAACTTTTGTAGTAAAAATTTTTACATGTCTGTGTAACTGTTCTGAGCAATCAGGCAATTAATCTGGCAGTACTTCTTAAAAAGATTGTTTTTTTAATGAAATGTCCTTAAAGTTTTTTTTGTTAGTGGCTCTCTTACTGCACTTGACAGTAAATTTACATAGTTAAGACTACAGTAAGTATGTGTTGGGATGTAATATGTTCTGCTCTATTAAAATCAAGTTTGCCAAGACAAAGCTAAAACAGGTCAGCTTTTAACAGCACTGTTATGGTTTGCTGTTATTTAAAACAATCTAACTGTTCCCATCAGCACCTTACCAAGTATTTGAAAACTAAAAGCATTCAATTACAAAGCAGATGCCTTGAGACTTAAACAAATCTTCTGGGGAGTTTGACAAAACCTAATTTAATTTGTTCTTACAGGTACAAGTGGATTTCCAGATCCTGATTTAGTCTTGAAGTTTGGTCCTGTGGACAGCACACTAGGGTTCCTTCCCTGGCACATCAGACTAACAGAGATCATGTGAGTAATCTATAATTCCTGTGGAAACAGATTGAAATAATATCTAGCTGAAGAAGTCTCTGTGACCTACCTAACAGAAAGAGCTCTAAGAGAAAACATGTTTAGATAAAAATATCCAGAACTTGATGTCAGAGTTTGAGTTATTAAATGAGAACCTGTCAAATACTTCCTGCATTGTTGCTACTTCAGTCGTGGTGAGGCAACAGCAAACTTCTGTTATCTTTTTATTCTCTGTGATCTGATCCAAGTTCAGCTGGTGTTCCTTACATTATCCTATCAGGGAAACTAGGTGATGCCTCTGGATTGCTATTCATCTTTAACAATTAAACTGACTGTAGTTGCTGTATTTCTTAAGTCTGAGAGCATTTATAAGGGTACTGAAAAACATGTCTGGACAGAACTGTTTCTTCAACTTTTGCACAATGTGAAAGTGCCTTCTGTAATTTAATGGGCAGGTTTCAATTGAAAGGGTGGCAGAATACTGACAGCAACTTAATTACTATGGAGTTGCATGAGGGCTACAGTATTGAGAAACTCCACCATGTTGCAAAGACAATAGCTTGCTTTCAGTAGACTGGCCAGCCATATCAGTCATTGATATTTATAAAAGCTTATTAACATCTTCTATCTTGCTTTCTCAGTTCTTTGCCTTCCCACCAGAACATCAGCTATGAAGACTTTTTCTCTGCCCTCCATCGCTATGCAGCCTGTGAGCAACGCTGGGGAAAGTGACTTTTGGCTGAGCACACTGAGTTGTGCTTTCCATGGAAAGGAATTTATGTCTGTTTACAACCACCTGTGACCCATAAGTCTGGTTCATAGTCCTTTCTTAATTTATCAACAAATTCAATAAAGTGTCTTACCTTTCTAAAGAGTCTGTGTGAATGTGTGAGAATCTGTGGGGAAGGGGAAATCTGCAGGTTTGCTTTATCATAGACATTTATTGCAATTAAAGCTCTATAGACCTGAATTGCCATCACTTTTTTGTCCTATGACCAGAAGAGCATGCAAGAATTTGTGTGAAATTCACAGGACAATGTAGGTAAGAATATTATCCCCTTTGAAGTTTCATGTCCCTCAGCTTTATTTCTTACTAGTTCTTCATGGTCACAATTTCAGAGCCAATCACCTGATTATTTTGTATTTACTATGTAATGTTTAAATTTTAGAAGCCTGTATTGGTTCTGTTAAAGACTTAAGACTGCTACTTCGCTGTCAGGGCTAAGTCAGTGGTAGCTCTAGAAGTGTGAGAAGGTTCTATTAAAGAAGAATGGAAGCTTCTGTGGTAAGTGGATTAGGCAGTATGAATCGCAGAAACACCAATGTTGGAAAAGACCTACAAGATCATCCAGTCCAACCATCAGTGGTATGCTTATTAATGCTTATACTATGCTTTCTTAAAAAAAGAGATAAAAGTGAAAAAGCAAAATACTCCTACAGCTTTGGGTGATATTTCTATCATCAGGCCCATTTTTCTATGGGGAATAAGTATAGATGTAATTCCACATAGAATTCTAGCCTAAAGTGACAAGCTGGCTAAGGCTCTGGGATCACCTGTGGGGGAAAAATATCTGAAAACATGCTAGGTCAACTTCTGCAGCTGCTGCCATTTGTTTGTTGTGTCTGTGTACCCAGAAGAGAAGTGCTGAAGCCTTCTGTTAGGTTTATTTTGAGCTGTGAATTAGAAGCTTGAATAGTGTTTCACAACAAATGAGAAGGTCAAATAAAGCTGCACTAACAAACAGTACCTCAGGTCTGAGAACATAGCTAGAAACACTAGCTAAGGAGTCTTCATTGTGGAATGTCTTATTCTAGTTATTCTGCATACTGAAAGTGCTTGGAAGTTAAGTCGTTGTAGCAGCATTTGGATGAAGCAGTATCTTCAGAGCTGTTATTTGGACGTAAGCATGAATATTTCAACCTTCTGGCCAGCATGCTAAGAACTGCTAGATGCTTTGTTCTAGAAGTTTTTTTTTCCTTTACCTCTCCCCTTTTGGAAATGAGCCTGTATCTGTTTCCTTCAGGATATATCTGTCATCAGAAGGAAAAACTTCCTGGGGGAATTGCAAGACTTTAAAATACACTGTTTGGCAAGGAAAGAAACCTAATTGTTGTAATAATGTTGTAAGAGTCTGCATAAGCTTAGCTGTAGGCTTTGGTTTGTTTTTGTTATGCTAAGATTAGATTTCAGTTATAAAAGAGGGCTGTGATCTGTTTTATTTCATGAAAGATGATGTTTAATCAGCTAATGTTCTTAACATGAAGTGACATCCTATTAGAGCTAGAATATAGTTGGCTGCCCTTTATGTTTGGTTTCTGATGTTTGCCAGTTCTTATATTGCAGAGAAGATGCAATGTTTCCTGGGTTTTGCCTTTGCCACAGGAGCAGGTTCTCACCAGGAGTTAGGTTTAACTTTTTTGTTGGTGAATGGGTAGCATGCTGGAGAGGAATCCTGAATATTGAAGGTTAACTGCATTATGAATTGACTTTATCAATATGAAAGGTTGTGTGTAAATTACCATGTATGTGTGCCGGTATGTCACTAAAGCGGTTCTGGTGCTGGCAGTAGAGAGAGAAATGAGAAGAGTTTAGTTCTCAAAAGCAATCTATTTTTTGTGTGTGTGTTCAGCTGCCAAAGAATACTTACTTTATGTGAGCTGCTCTTGGTCCTCTGATTCCTGCAAATCTCATCTAAATATCTCATCTAACAAACCTTCTTTTCATTGTAGATTGATCTCAAAGTCTAGAACTTGTCTATGGAGGGATGTCTAATGAAACTAAAACAATTAGTTCAGCTGCATTTGATTCAGCTTAATCAAATCTCTTCTGATGACTAATTTAATTGTAAATGTCTATCCCAAAATTAATGGAGTTGAACTAATCCATGTTGGGATTATTTTTACTGTCCCTGTGTGGGCGATCCTCAGTGAGCTGTGCCAAACACACTGTGTGTCCACCACTTGATCTCTGAATGTATGTTGCTGCAGTTAGCACCTCCCCAGCTTGCTCTGTGAGATCTGTGGTATAGCTGTGATGTTCTGTATGGCCGTAGTCTCTGGGTACTTGTACATAGTGTGTAAAACTAATTTTATGATAAGGGAATCATTTTATTGAATTTTATTATTGGAAGTTAAATCTGAATCTGTAAAACAAGAAATCAATAAAAGACTATAATCTTTCTACAGCCTGTGGTGATACATGAATGTTTCTATACTGTATCCTTACTTATATTGTGCACTGCTGAGAAAGTAGGGAACTTCACATTTCACGCCCTTTTTATACTATTCCTAAACTACTTGTGGGGATTTTTTTTTATCTGTTAACCACTCCCAACTTCTAAGAAGCTCTTTTAAAAGCTTTACTATTGAGAATGTTTACTATAAAACTGTTAGATAGCACTTGGAACCTGCGAAACTCATTCCTGATTACTAAAGAGCTTGCTGCTTCTGGCTGTTGCTGAGTCGGTCCTGAGCTGGGCTTCCAGATGTCACTGGTTTGGATCAGGGTCTAACTGGGGGTGTGGAAGAAGCATCTGCAGATGTGTTGGGAAGTGTCTTTGGAAGTCTTGGTGACCATGAACCAGCTGTGGGCCATTGATATAAAGACCAATGATTTGGGCTGTACTGAGTGTTACCAGCAGGTCAAGGGAGGTGGTCCTTCACTGCCATCTGGTGAGAGTGCAAATCCAGCAAGGAGCTGTACTGTGAAATGGAAAAGAGTTATTTTAGAGAGGATCTTCACAGCAAACCATCTAAAATGGCAAGGGGTCAGCGTATGATACTTTAGCTGGTGCTTTAACTCAGGAAAGCAATAGATGATTAAGCACAACTGGGACTGCTTGGCTCATTCCACATAACTGAAGGAGCGTGCTGGGTCCTGGCAGTGGTGAGTTTTCAGTAAGCCTGCAAATTAACACTTGGTTCTCAGAATCCCAGCTGTTGACAGGAAAGCTATATTCTTTACTCAGTTGTTTCACAATAGATGTTTTTCTTTGTTTCTTCTCAAAATGCTTTTCGGGCTTTTTTTTTTTCCCCTTGCTTACCCAGTGATACTGGCATGCTGTTCATTGGAAAGGGAAGCTCCTGGTAGGAAAACTGTAGCATTATTGAAGGTAACTGTTTGGTACACCCTAGATGATGCAAGTAAAACTACCAGCGGACAGTGAATGCAGAGGAAATCCTGTGGCTTTTTTCCACATTTGTTTACTCATAACTTCACAATTGCCAGCATTAAGCTGCTCATTGAAAATCAGTTTGGTGGTGTGTGGTGTGCTTCAAGAGGATGGGGCTCTCAGCTGGCTTTTAATAGTCAGCACAGCACCAATGGCTCTCCATCCATAATGCAGTTAATATTCATTATTGAAATTGTAAATTAAGAGTTCACTGTATGGTGAAAATTCAGCAAAGCCAAGTTCTAGCTCATCCTACACAAAACTTCCTGACGAGTGCTGCTGTGAAGGTTACAGTTTGTCCCATTTTCACCACACCATGAATGACTAAATAGCTTATAGCTATTTTCTAGGAGCTAAGCTGCTTTGATAAGCTTGGAATTCTAAACCAAATGAATCAAAGGCCACATTTTAAACCTCTGCACAACTTTTCCCCTCAGATCTGACTAATTTAAACAGACTCTCAAGCACTTCATCTGCTATACAAGGCATCACTGAATTCTATTGAATCAATTTGTGGAGAGCCTTAGGATTGTTCCTTAATTGCATCCAAAACAACTTTTTCAGATGATGAATAATGTTATGTATTATAGAGATGTATGCCTCAGCCTTAACTTTGAAGCACTTCACAAATTAATGTTTAATGGAACTGTTTGCCTTGAGGTTTTTGCTGCACTATCTAACTGGCTGAACATGAACACAAGCTGGGGCTATTTTATCTCCCTGACAAGCTTTGCTGCTTTAATATGGTGTGTGTTTTCTGGCTGCATTGGTTTTCACTACTTCTCTTTCTTGTGTTTGTCTCCTTGGTCTGCAAAAAAACTTAGGCCTCCCCTTGAAACAAAAACAACAGAAACCTCTAATAGATCGATTGTTTAGGAAACACTGTTTATGAGAATGTTTGCTTGAGCTAAACCATTGTCTAGTATGACAGATTTGTAATACAGCTTAAGTGGGCATTAGAGGTTTGGTAGCTGATAAACTGGAAGGAAAGGTTTGTCTTGCTCCTTGGATGCAGGTGTTTATTGTAACTTTAATGGAAATTTTCTGATTCAGCTATCAAAGTTAAAAGCTTCCTGTGGGACTTTGGGTTCAGAAATTCTACAAAAGTTGCCTCTTGGTGTTGGTGAAGTGCCTACTAATATCAAGAGCACAAAGGCATCTGAAAAAGTGTCTGCTAACACCAGGACATATTTGTTAAACTGATTTCATGAGCCGTTCTGCAGCTGGCAACTCTTGGGTGTGAAGGAAAGGCTGAGAAGTTTAGTTGTTCAGCCTGGAGAAGGCTCTGGGGAAAACTCATGTGCAGCCTTCCAGTACCTAAAGGGGGCTTTTAGGGAAGATGGGGAGTGACTTTAGTCTATAGTGACAGGACAAGAGTGCATAGCTTTAAACTGAAAGAAGGGAGAGATTTAGGTTAGATATTAGGTGAAAATTCTTTACTCAGAGGCAGTGAGGCCCTGGCACAGGCTGCCCAGAGAAGCTCTGGGTGCTCCATCCCTGGAGGCACTCAAGGACAGGTTGGATGGGATCCTGGGCGGCCTGAGCTCGGGGTGGCAGCCCTGCCCACAGAGGAGTTGGGGCTCAATGGGCTTTAAGATCCTCTCCAGCCCAAACCATTCTGTGATTCCATGACTGTTCTTTGTGCTTGGAAATTGGTGGAAAGTGTGAGACAGAGGGTTAGTGAGAGAAAAGGAAAGCAGGAAGGGACTAAACTGTTCTAAGCAAGGGATTACAGATCACTAGCCAGTGCTCAGTCTCTCACCAGCTGGTGAAGGAAGGCTTTAGAGAAAAGGCCAAGCATTTTGCTATGGGCACTGTCAGATCAGGAACATTGCTTGATTTTGAATTTGGAGAGGTTGGACTTTCACAGGCTTCATTTGCAGACTTTATGTATAGCTTGTGTATTTTAAAGCAGTTTCATCTAATAGAAACAGTGGTCATCTCCCTCAAGCACTAACCAATGCACCTGCAAGACCCGCAGCTCATTTTGAGGTTAGTGCTCTGCTCCACAGCTGCCTAGTAAGCCCAGATCAGTGCCCAGCAGCTGCATTGATATCAGCCAGGGCCATGCAAGGCACCAGTGATGGCAGTACTGCACTGGCAGGTTTCTCCCCAGACTGCCTGACATGCTGAGAACATCTCCTGCCTCCTGGTTCTGTTACTGAAGCCCCATATGTTCTGCTTGAGTTCCTATGTGCAAGCACATTCCAGAGACATAAAACAGCATCTGTGATGATGCTCACTACCTTGTAACTCTCTCTGTGCAGCTGCTTCTGGCTATGTTTTATTTAACTGGCTCTTCTCCAAAGCTCAGATTGGCTTCATTCTCTAATGCACAGGGCAGAGCTGAGGACACACGTGGGTAGAGGGCAGAGGTGAGGGTTCTTCCCATCTTTGGCTGCCTCTCCCTGTCATCCCATCACCACCACCACAGAATGCCACATTGCCTGCATGGGCATGAGGCTTCTGCCTGGCCATGTGCTTTTTTCTTGCTCTTGTGTGACATTTTGTGTTGATTCTTTTTTCCAAAATAAATAAAGAAGTTGTCTGTCTTTAAGAGGATGCATCTGATTCTATTACTAGTGAATTTTTAAAATACGGGAGAGGTGGCAGCAATGCTGGAAGAAGAGTTTTGGGGGAGATTCATTTAAAGGGAAAGAGATGGAAAAAATTAAGTTTCTATTTATGTATCAAATCAGCTCTGATTTGAATTTGAAAGTGGGAGTGAAAAGATGGAGCTTCTCCTAGCATCACCAGCTCAGCTGTGCTGCACACACTGTGTGTGTATGCAAAATGATCTGATTGATGCTGCAGCAGTTGTGCAATATAACCAGTTTGGTGTTGCTGAGCTATTGCTTCCCTCTCTCACTCAGTATCCTGCTGGTGGATTCTAAACCCTGATATGCTGTGACTGTGCTTACCCAGTTATCTTTTTTTATTTTTTTCACTGCAATATTGTCAAGTGAGTTTCTGTTTCCTACAGGAAAACTGAGACCTGTGGTTGTTACCGTAGTGGGATGGGGTCCTTTGCATTCATGAGGAGCCTACAGAGGTGGACA